AGGTGTAGTTAATCCACATTTATGAAGAGAACGTGATTGGATTAATTGAAAAATTCATTATTACAACCAAATGTACCAGTGATTGTTTAACTGTACTTTTTGTTTATAACACTCTTTACGCGTAAACTTTCTGTTTGTGCTGCTGCCATTCTTTGCTCTACTAGCTCTGTAAATTCGCTCATCTTTTCTGGTTGGATTTCTGGTTCTTTCGACATCACGAAATCGCCGGCAAATATATTCTTTACCCTGGATTTATTTATCTTCTCAGTGACAGGTTCGTAATAAGTATTTACTGGTGATCATAGTCAATCTCGACTCAGTCACCACTAAAGGCGTACTTCAATTCTATAAATGCACGATTAATAAACTTAGTTTTTACATTCATTTGATGCAGTAAAAAGTTTGTTTACACACTGAATGACAGTCTCCAAACAAGTCTAGCTCCGACCATATAAACTTTCTTAACATGCGCATTTGTGTCCTTATTCAACTCAGTCTGATGAACGGTGAATAGGAAATGTAGGCGGTTCCAATTTTTAATAAGAAAATTCAAATCAATGGGTTTTGGGAGCCAGACAGTTCAGTCATGTCAGTTGTGCTACTGAAAACCTAATATTCTGAAGTCATTGTCTCACATAAACTGCAGATTATTTTTGGCTAAGGGACAATGGATACCTGGAAATATCAAAATTCGGACATTACATCTAAACAAATCCAAAAATACCAGTTTGGATCTTCATTGTACCAGGTATTATTTGTGTATTAGAGTGCCTCCAGCTAAGATGTATCTAGTAAAACTGATGAGGTCAGCACCAATGTTGAAGACCGACAGAATTACTTATTTGTGTGATATTTTTGCCATCGTAGCTCACTGACCCTAGTGGGGTAGTGATGACCCTAAGACGTGACCAACCCGAATTTTGAATCTAGAATGCATGATGTTTTTAAATACTCTTCTGATAGCTTGCTTTGTCCAGCATCGTCCAGTCAACTTCTTTTACTCTAAAATGTCATGTGTCACATTAAAATAAGCGAAAAAGTACAATAACATAGTCGGTTTTTTGTGTCCGTATTCTGCCATTCGCCTTTTCCGATCGTCCTATAAAAGTAAAAAGAGAATGTAGGTGCATGTCAAAATGCATTCATGATTATGTAGGCAAGCAAGTCATTAGAAAACTGGTATATATGCGTAATAATACAGTAGGACAGCGATAAAAATAGCAAACATGAAGTGTTTTGGATTTTTTTAACAACATTACACATGTATTTACCAGCAACTAAAAACGGATTTTAGTTTACAACAGAATAAAATTCTACAATACAAACAAAGGGATGTAGAACAGAAGAAAGGAGTGAGAGAAGACATGAGCTTTAAGGTGTCTTACACTCAGTAGTCATTAGGATGCCATGGGTGTCCCACAAATCTTCTAGAGCGCATCATTCTAGGTCGCTTTCCTGAAACCAGCGAAGTTTTGTTGTGGTTTTTACCAATCGGAGATCACATAACAATTGTACAATAGGTAAACCGCTTTCAGCCGGTCGATGTTAATGCTGTCTTTGCTCCCGTTCCTAACAAATTTATAGTCCTTAGGTTCGCGTTGAAGGACCTGTAGGGTCATTTGAATCAGGCTCCGAGTGATGGACGTACGAAAATGTGTGTTTCGGGTCGTAAGGTGAGTCAGACGAATACATCAGTTACTTGAGGTCTAGTAGAAACCGGTTTAACTGAACGCATTGAGTTAGTAAGTCTGCTCCTGTATAAGTTAGTATCCAAATCTGTTGAAACAAATAAATGGTCTATCAATTCTCCTGTGAGTTGGTGTTTCGTTCCGTTACTGAGTTCCGCTACAGTGCGTTCAACGTCAGCTTTCACTGTACTACGAATTCCGAGTAATACGAGTCAAAGAGAGTCAGTCCTGAGTGATATATCCGCACCTCAAATTCAGGTGTTAAACTTTTGGTGGAATCGTCCAACCAAATTATTATTATTATTATTATTATTAACTGTCGAGCTGTCGTCCGGAACCATTTGATTCTTAGAAGTGTATTGAGACGGCGACAAATTCCGAATTCTAACTGCCATCCAAGATCTGTAGTAAGAGTTGATGAGCAGCTGATGTTTGCTACCCTTCGATCGACTCATGTGCAGGCCACCGTTTTAGCTGTAACACTCTTGATAGGTACTATTTTCGGCCATCACACGAAACACTCCACACATGTCAGGAGGTAGGAGTATCCGGTTTGGATTTGGCGAGGATCCTACCAAGTTATGATGAACGTGGTTGCAGCAAGTTAGTAGTTGAGAAAGTTACCAAGAGTCTTCGGTGTAGGAGGTGCCAACATAGTTGACCTGCCTATGTGTTTCTCCATAGTTGGAAGTGTTTTCCTCGCAATGCCAACCGTATTAATGATCTTCGCATTTCCAAGTAGTTGATTGATTGAGGGTCTCATAGCAGTAGCGCAACTCAGTATGAACAATCAGTACAAACTTACGAGTCCACTAAACGTGCGTAAATTTCTTGACAGTGGTCAGTTCTAAGAAGTCTGGAATGGCCGCAGAAAGTTGGGGGATCCGGTGCAATCTTAACATACACGCATGTTAAAAATAGTGCCCTGTTTCTGAAGTCTTTGTAGACAAGATCCATACACTGAGGATGAGATTCTCTGTCCTCACTTGGAATTACACCGTCATTAACATAAGCGTGCATTAAGTCTAGAAATTCGTCTGTCAATAGCTCAAAGGTTTGAACAGCATTTCCACAACTGAAAGGAATACGCGAAAATACGTAGAGTCTAAACGGAGTGACGATGGCTGTTTTAGAAATGTCTCCGGTATCCACAGGGATTCAGTTAAACGCTTTAAACAATTATTCTTTTAAAAAACAGTTATACCTTTCATGGTGGCTGATATGTCATGAATATGCTAACGATATGTTCTGTTGTTTTCGCATTGAGTCGTCGATAGTCACCGGTTGGACATCAGTCATTGCTGTCCATTTTAGGGGCCATATTCAGCGGCGATGCTCAGAGGTTGTTTGAAGGTTGGACTTCTCCTGAACCTATCATATAGTCCAATTCTTTTTATGCCAGGTCTTAGCTTTTCAGGAGCTAGTCGTCGGGCTCTTAAGGATACAGATGGTCTTGTACACGAGACCTGATGTACAATATCGCTGGATAGTGAGGTAATTTTAGTCGTAGTTGGTACATTATCGGTTACCTTTCGAGTATTGGTTGAAAGAACAGGTCGACTATAGGCTCAACCATGGCTGGAGGTAATCTGAGACTACGGAATGAAACTCTATAAACGGATAATTTGGCATTATCGTCTACTAACCATTTTTCTGACGCTGACTAGTAGTTTATGGCGTTTTGGAATGTCTATACCTGTAATTGGCACTGACGCGTCCGTCACAACAAAAATCCAGCGTATGGGTTTGCTCAAACCGCCGTCAGGGTTAACACACTTTTTGCAGTAAGCGTAGATCGATTCGTCGATTCGCCACCTGATGATTGAAGACCAGATCGTGTAAATGATGACTTGTGTTCGCCGAAGAGAGGTAGACTTCTATACTATTGTAAACGAAATGGCGAACAGTCATCACATCGTTGAGCAGAGAAGACGGCTTTCTGCACTGTCGACGGTTGCTGTTAACGATCAGCAGATGTAGTCAGTTCGTTCACGGAATTATTCTGGAACGAAACAAGAAAAGCTTCCACTTAATAGGGAATTTTCGAAAGAAGGATTTGCCGGAGAAGTTCTTATTGGAAAGTTGGTTGGTCAATGACCTCACACAATATTTCTGTTGCCTAGCCGGGTTGTCTAGCCTCTGTCAATGGGCTAGCTTTCCACATTTAGGGTTCTATTTCTTCAGGGAGTCTGAAGGTTGCTAGACATCAATAGTATATATATTAGTTGAAGCATACTTGTTCAGTTGACGCAGTGCTGCCTACACTGCAGTGCAGAATCACTCACAAGGGTCTGTCACGTCATGCTCGTAGAAGTTGGCACCTACATAGCAGAACCAGGCTGCGATATTATCGGGAAAGGATGTCATTAGCTGAAGGTTTGGGGGCTCAGAAAGCTTAATCATAGGAAGCTTAGGTGTGTATCCGAATAGAGCGAGAATAAAATACAGATGAATATGCTGGAAAAACAATTAAACAAACAGTATCGCAATATGCAAAAATATAGAAATATATGTAACGTAATAACAAGAAAAACAATCACAAAATTTTATTTAGTGAACCAGATCACACTGGGCCAATAGCATGTATTTTTAGTCTATTTTTACTACATAAAAACCTGCTATACTTTTTTTGACCCATTAGGCATCCATTTACGTCAGTGTAATTGGGCGCATGTCTGAACATCAGTTCCTTACCCGTTCTTTAATTGGTCGCAAACAAGGATAATCAATAACTTTATCCACATATTCATTATTACCCATATCCGTAACACCTACCAGATACAGAATACCCCAAGCTAAGACAAACCAGAAGTCAGGAATGAGAAGGATCGAAGGTATATTTGAATAGTGGTTGGGATGTCGAGGGACGAGTGCACTGAGCTCATTAATTGATGGAAGGGGATGCGTTGTACAATGTACCCAACGGTGATCTTGTGTGGATGAGTGACCGAGTGCCTCCAGCTAAGATGTATCTAGTAAAATTGATGGGGTCAGCACCAATGTTGAAGACTGACAAAACCTTTATTCCCGGGATTTGCTTGCCTCTATAAGACTATTCAAAAGTATGTGATAGGTCTTAGCAAACATTATGATTCATCACTAGATACAAATTCGTAATGTTAGATGAATTAGTACTGCTAGATGACTCAAAATGAGTAACGTAAACTAGGACTAACAACATTTTCGGATATATTCTAGTTATACTGCATCCAAATATCATAAACTTTTATAAGCATCAGAATAAACTAATTCCATGCAAGTTGGCTATTTAGAATTGAAAACATTAAAGAATTCATTGAAAAAGTTGTGCAACTTAGAAATTGTTTAAACTAATTATTTGAACTAATTTCATTGGTAGGAAAGTGGCTTCCTTTTCCAAGGGATAACAGACAGCATACTAGTCGTACATCACGAGCTAATCGAGCATTGGTCAATCATACGGTGAGTTATGGGTGGCAGAGGTAAAGGAGGTAAAGGTCTTGGGAAAGGTGGGGCAAAGAGACATAGGAAGGTTCTGAGGGATAATATTCAAGGCATAACGAAGCCTGCCATTCGTCGCCTTGCCCGTCGTGGAGGCGTGAAACGTATTTCTGGTTTGATCTATGAGGAGACTCGGGGAGTGTTGAAAGTATTTCTAGAGAATGTAATCCGTGACGCGGTTACATATACGGAGCATGCAAAGCGGAAGACTGTAACTGCTATGGATGTGGTATATGCTCTGAAACGCCAGGGTCGTACGCTGTATGGTTTTGGTGGCTAAATGCAACCCGGATATTTATTAGGAAATCATCATTACCCCACAAAGGGTGTATATACTGTTATTTTCCATTTACTTACTCTTTTCAATGTATCTTTTATTCATGATGTATGTTTTTGTGGCTTAAATACACGTGACATTATTATGTTCATTTTTGGATTGCGGTGGGGTAGTTGGGCTTAAGCTTAACGTATCACTATGCTGAAATCTTCTTAGTACCTGTCCCGTTGAGAAGTTTTGGACTTGTGTGTATGGTACATATCGAACACGTAGTTCAAATGGTTTTGGCCCTTCATGGTGTGCCCACTCATTGTATGGGATTGTAGGTAGATTCAATTTTAGTTAATGTTTATCACGTTGTGTATTAGATTTCTGTGTTCACTACTGATGACTCGTTTGGCCTTTTTGAGTACTACTTTGTGGGGTCGAGTACGTGATGCTTCATGCAGCCTCCTGTAGTATTGGTGGTTTCGGCTAGTTGATTTTTCTGCGTATTTCAAGGGTAATTGAAATTTCCCTCTGGTTATTGGACGAGGAACCTCCACTCATTTACCTAATTGATTTCGTTTTTTGAAGCCTCTAAATTGTAGTACACCCGGGAAGTTTGCTCCTGCCTAGCTGTTAGCTAGTAATAATGACTGCATAGTAAATGTTCCGTAGTGCTAGGGAATCTTGTTCCGCTTGCCTAGTGGTTCACAATTGTAGTATTTGCAAACCTGTTAGTCGAGTTTTCTAACACATGCGCAGAGAACTCCGAATCTCTCAGCTAAGCGCCACATGATCCTATTTGTGGCTGTCGTCGTTCCTGGAGACCGGCATTGCAATTTACTATATAACACAACTACGTCTCTCCTCGACCTTAATGATCGTATAAAAAGTGCCAAGGGAAGTTTCTAAGGAGTGGTCCTTGCTCTTTATGATAACGCTAAACTTCGGTTTATTTCAGCTTGTGACAATAGCCTGAATACAAGCGCACCAAAGGCGGATTGAATAGATTTACGTTACCTTAGTATCGCGTGACATTTTTCTCTGAGAGAAACATTGAGTACTGTGGCGGCGTGGTATCGTCATTTTCCTAAGAAATGCCTGTTAAAAATGCCCGATGGGTTTGGTTCATCTGCGTTGGATGAGTGGGTCCCTGCTGATCAGTCCTAATGCTTTCCACAAGCAACTCACGTGAGCTACTGGGATGCTCTTGACCAATAATGATAAAGTTGTAAGATGTGGCTATGGGCAGCTCATCAATCTTCCTACCCGAGGAGGCAAGTGTCGGGAATGAGTTGATGGTGAAGTTTGAAGCTGCACGCCTCGAACGGCCGATGAAACGGTCTAACTTGCTACCGGGCCAAGCGGGATCTTGGTATCGATTCCGTAACTTCTGGCAACGTACTGATTATTTAGGTTTGGTAGTAAGAATGAATAGGGCTTGGCAGTCAAACGATAACGCGTATAATCAGCTGTTGACACTGGTAGTCGTGCATGGTATGGAATACTCCCTGTGATAGATAATGTCTTAGCGAGATAAGTTCCGTAAGCTTACGCTCAACGATGGCGGGAAAAGTAGCTTCAGAGAGGCTACGTATGTATTCTGACATCCAGTCTTACAAATACTTCACGAACCGAAGTTAACACTTTACGCTTTTAATGTTTTCCACTGAAATTAGAGGTAAGCAACATCGAACCAATAACATATCAAGATCAGCTGAAGCTGCTACGAAAGACCTTACCTAGAACGTATTTTAACCTATCGAAGATTCTTTACCCAAATAGTACTTGTTAAGTCCTAGCACATGGTTAACTGTCCAAGCAGGCTCGTGTAACCCATCGATTTCGAATGTGTTCTGTGAATAGCACTTTGTGTAAGAGAACTTCTGTTACAGTACTTATCACACCGAGATCAAACCAAACAAACCTTCTCCTAAGTTCTAGTCTTCTGAATTGTTGAAGAATGGATACATCCGCGCCATTAAAAATAATATTGAGTCATGTCGTCCAAGGTCTTTAACCATCGGTTACTGTCGTCTCGCCGACCCCAACCAAGTAGTCTACAGTTACAAACATGGCTCTGTCCAGTTACCTCTTGGTCTGACCGCCCCTAGCTTCCGTCCAACCTTCCTCCTGTGCTAGAAAACATAGCTCGTCGCAGCAGTCGGTGGTTAGGCATACGTAACACATGTCCCTACCACCTCAACTGATGAAGTTTCACTACTTCATCAATTTATCTACTATCCTTACCTAGTACCCGTTTCATGATGGCAGCATTGCCTACTCGATTGTCCCACGATACACGAGCAATGCTTCTAAGACGTCTGTGATTGAGTACTAGTAACCTACGAATATTTTCTACTCTTACCGGCCATAATCCACAGCCATATAGTAACACAGACCGGACTACTGCGCATAACACTCGTCCTTTGGTCAGCAAGCGGATATCTCGCCTACATCATAAGTGACGCAAGTTGGCAAAAGCCAGTCGAGCTTTCTGTATCCGAGCTGATATTTCGTCACAAACCAGGTCATCAGCGCTGATGAAACTCCCGAGGTAAGTGGAGCGGTTGCACGCACGACTACTTCACTCCCTATCACTAGTTCAGGTGCCGATCTCGAAGCAACCTTTTGCATTTCGAGGGTGAGAACCGCATCCCAAACATGCTTCCATTGTTGCTTAGGGTAGTGAGTAGACGGCACTTTATCAGCGTCTTCACCAAGTAGAACTATGTTATCGGCATATTCTAGGTCAATAAGTGATCCTCTTGGCAAAAGGTCCACTCCTGAAAAATCTGACGAGGATAATGTTAACTCTAAAAGCATGTCTACGACAAGGTTAAACAAGAATGAAGAAAGAGTAGACAGCCCTGACGGATACCACTTGAAGTAGAGAATTCAGATGACAGTTTGCCATATGCTCTTACCCGACCGGTGGTGTTCGAGTGCGGAGCTCGTATGAGGATAACGTACTTCTTTGGTACACCTTTCAATCACAGACGCTGCCACAGAACCCCACGATCGTCAGAGTCAAATGCCGCCTTAAGGTCAAGGAAGACAACTGTTGTCGGACGACTAGGTGTGTCTTTATTTCAGGACCTAACATAGTGTGAATATCTGGTCTATGCAGCCACGTCCAGATCGAAAACCAGCCTGGTTTTCTCTAGTCTGCTCTTCATGAGCTTTAGCTAGGCGTCTAAGTATAATGGAGGCTAAAAATTTGGAATCTATATTAGACTTATTCCCCTGTGATTGTCACAAGAGGACTTTGTCCTTTTTTGTAGACTGGGACAATCAGCGATTGAGACCAGTCAGATTGTATTACCATCAATTCCCAGACTCTACCTAATATCTCGGTCAATATAGCTGCTAAAACTGGACAACCAACCTTAAAAATCTCCGGAGTTAGCCTGTCATGACCTGCTGCTCTATCTCGCTTTAGATTTCCTACAGCTTTTTCAACTTTATAAAAACTAGGAGGACTTATATCGATTTGCCATTCAGGATGATTGGAGATCGATTGATTTCTAATACCGGTTTCCTTTATAAGGCGGAAAAGTTGTCTACTGTTGCTTATCGCCGCTGCCTTTTCCATCGCTTTTGCTTTCGCCACCCACCACTGTTCGCGATCATTGCGTAAGCTTTTTATCAGCCTGCGGCTGAGCTGACTTCGCTCCTCATGTTCAGAGCCAGGCGTGATGAGTTTACGAGTGTCTATCAGTTCGGTGGATGCTACTGGGATCCACCGCTTCTCTCTAACCTTAAGGTTTTCCTTACTAGCAGATATAACTGCTGTTTCCACAGCCTTCTTGATATCATTACAACCTGCCTCCGGATGGGAATCACTTACATGGTCACCTAACTGTTTTTCTAATTGTTCTTGAAATATATCCTTAGCTATGCTATCATTAGGTAGAACCCTAAGAGGTTTTCTTGTAGTGTCTTCCGGTAAGTTGCAAACGAATACGTGCTCGCACTAGAGCATGATCTGAATCTAAACATGTGCCCCAGAACGAGCGACAGTCCTATATCGAACCTCTCCATCGGTGGCTGATGGCAATGTGATCTAGTTGGGTCCAACGTTGGGGGTCGCCAGGTCAAAAGATGATTTTACTTATGCCTAAAGTTAGTGTTTGCTAGGAATAGTTGGTTATCTGAGCATAGCTGCAGCAGACGGTAACCATTATCTTTTCTCTGAGAAGCGACACAATAAGATCCACCCAGGTGTCTTTCCTTTTCACTCAGTCTACCTATATGAGCATTGAAGTCACCAGCCACTATTACTATATCAGAGCGCCTAACCTTTTGGGGAAGATGCGAGAGGTTTCTGTAACACTCATCTTTCACCTCGTCTGAACCGCAGTCGTGTGGACACAGGCAGATGCGACAAAGAGACAACGACGGGTGTCCCTATCTTTCCGAATCCTTACTGTCCCGTTTAGTCGGACAGCGCACAAGCGACTATCTACTAGGATCCAGTCTAGGAGAGCTAGTTTTGCCCTAGGACTCAATGCTATTCCTACACCATCGAGACCCCGGGAGGCAGCATCAGGGCTTCCAGATACACGAAGAGTAAATCTTATTTTGACATGGTGAGGTCAAGTGAATGATGTTACTCGGGTCCCCCTTATCTTCACGACTAACTCTTCTCACATTCCTTTATCACCCAGCAGCTCTGCTGCAAACGATTCGAGTTCCCGAAACGTTATTCCTGATCTCCTGAAACCCCGTTATAAACTACATGTTGGAGCATTGTTGTTCGGACATTGTGTCAAATAGGGCAACAGTCTTCCGTAGCTTGGACGTGATAGTCTCGCACCATCGACGTACGCTACATCTCGGAAACGCGCATACAGGATCCGAGTAGTGTCATTCACTTGACGATTTCGGTCACTTTATGCACTAATTAGTTTTTGGTCTAAAGTAATCAGGATGTTAGGCCGCTTGACATATGTTGATCCTTACAGTTTGTTTTCCAGTGAAGATGGGAAGTAATTAATTAAAAGTCTTTAATCGTCAGATTAATTTGATGATAGATCTTGCGTTTGGTAAATATACTATTCAAAAGTCAATGAGACAAGTAACTCTTGAGTAAATTAATATTTGTGAGCAGGCAGAGTATACCCATTGAGAAAGGAAAATTGGTTCAGCGAAGACTT